GATGGCATTCATACAATTCTCTGATGTTTCCTCATGTCCCTTGCCAGTGTGGTTGTTATCCATCATTAGTGCTACCGAAATTCTCCATCACACGAAAACATGGTTTCAATAATCATGATAAACGTTAGGGTTTTTCGTTTGCAATTCACTGTATCAGGAAAATTGAAATGAAAGTTATAAGTCAACGCCTTTGCCCTCAAGAGCTGACTATGTTTAGGAGATTACGTCTCATACTAATGTAAGGTTGAGCTAGATAGCATCGATGGAACCTAAGGAAAAACGTTTGACTCATTTCTAATATGCTACGATAAGATCGTGTCACGCTTACACCGAACTAGTTTCTACCGTTTGAGGCATGAATCAAAGGAGAAGTTCAAAAATGATGTTCTACCGCATCCAATGTTGAATCGATCCCACTTCATTTGACTGAGGGTTGAATTGCAATAACTGTTGCTGACTAAGACTCAATCTTTGTTTCAATATTAATTCAGTTTTTCTGTTGCATGTGATGGATTATGGATGATGGTNTTATGGATGATGGTATTGAATGGATTGAGAATAATTATTCGACGGATAATGATAATAATCGGTTGTGACTGTAAACATCAATATTTATTGGATAATGGTATCAATTGGATTATTACTAATGGATATTTTGCTAATGGATAATAATATTATTCACTGGATAATGGATAATAATATATGGACAATAATGGATATTTTACTTATGGATAATAATGGGTTTAGGGATAATAATATTGTTTACTTGACGGCGTAGTGGCAGTGGTCTTCTTCATGGTATGGTCTTCAAGGTTTCAGTTCTCACCTTTGAAACTTTTTGCATTATTTTTGAATTTGATTCCAGATCCTGGTTTATTCCAGATTTTGTTCCATATAGTGTGCCTTTAAAAATAATAATCTGGAATCTTTCGAAATATCTCGGACATTAGAAAAAGGAGGGAGGGAGGGGAGAACGAGTTTTGGATTTTTGAAGTCTTGTGGTAGATTTTTGTAAATATTAGTCTGTTCTTGTCATTATTTTGGAAGATGGAAAAGGGAAGGGTGGGGTTGAGGCTAGCAGTTTTTGCAAAATCCATATTTATCTATGTCGTAGCACACAACAGCGATAAGTGATTCATAGCGCAGTGGTAGTGCCGTGGGTTTTTGAATGGTTGACTAGTGCTCGGGCGATTTTTTCGAAGTTTAAAATTTTGATCATGAATTTTATTTCAGGTCTAGCTTTCGTTTTTTGAAGGTTTACGGTGTCTCTCACAGAACCGATAAACCAAACTAACCGTACTAACCCAACGGCTCTCTTTAGAGCCACATAACCAATGAACCAAAACTTTTTCATAACCGTATTAACCGTACTTACCCAACGGCTTTCTTTAAACCTATTTTCACTGAGTCTTCAAAGTTCATTATTTTTCCATGATAGAGCAAAAATCTTTAAATTTTCTGCCTTTTATTTCAGCCTTATTCACGTTTGGCTAATTTTATATGTTTCCCTACATTCATTTCAAATTACTCATTCAATGTATTTTGGTCTACGTTCAAAGGATGTCACTGAGTCTTCAAAGTTCATTATTTTTCCATGATAGAGCAAAAATCTTTAAATTTTCTGCCTTTTATTTCAGCCTTATTCACGTTTGGCTAATTTTATATGTTTCTCTACATTCATTTCAAATTACTCATTCAATGTTATTCTTGTGGGTATTTTGGTCTATGTTCAGAAGATGTTGAATGTTTCATTTTTTAATTGTGCTTTACTTCTCAGATCCGACTCGAAGGACTTGCCAAGTGATGCTCGACGGACAATGTGATGTGAGGAATCCGAAGTGATGCTTATGTGATCATATGTTATTTCGTATTGTGTGATACTGCAATATTTTTGATAGTGCCATGTGATATTTCAGTTTATTTCCGATCTTTCCACTTTTTTTGATTATTTTTGAGGCTGAATTGCTTGTGTATGGTTAAAGATTTTGTTTGGGGCTGTTTTGGTTTCTGACCTGAGAGAGCTCTTTACGGAATGTTGCCTTCCGGCCACTCTCGAGTGGTTATAAGAGCTCTTTCAGGCGTACCTCCCAGTTAGGCTGGTGACAATGACAGATGTTGTTTTCTGGGATGTTTTCGGAGGGTTGGGTTGAAATTCAAATGATTCACGGCGTTTTTAGGACGATGACATTTATTTGTTAAGGCAACTCAGTGGTACAGAGTCAACGTCCTGCCATTGTCTACTAACTGAGAGGTACACAATACCACCCGATTTCCAGTTAGGTCAGGGGCAAGGCTGTCATCTTTCTTTTCGAGAAATGTTTTTGTCTGTTAGTATTGTTTTCGTCGATTCATTCGCACAAGATGACAGCAATTGCTCTGATGCCTTGGGTAGTGGTCGGATCGTCACATGTTGATGAGATGACTTCCACCTGAGGATATGACCTGAACTTTCTGGAAGTCGGGCGATCCATCTTCAGGAGCCCTCTGGTCGCAAAACGGCTCATCCGGAGCCGTCTAGTGACCATTGGGCTCCTGCCAAAAATGATAAGTTGGGTTAGTCTGTCACGTTGTTTTCTAAAATTTTCAAATTCCCGCGTTTCGATGGAGGCAGTTTTTATGCCTGGTCATGATTCGCCAAATCCTTCAACGGTTAAAATTTTTTCGAGATTTCCATTTTTTAAAGATTTTGCGTTCATCATATAAATTTTCCAGTTGTTCTTATCCGTTTCCTGATTTTTTGGAGTGTAAGGATTTTCCTGATTTTTTGGAGTGTAAGGATGTATGTGAAATCTTGAGAGTAAGTGATGTTATATGGTTCATAGCAGTAATCGGTTTGTAAGTCATTTGGTGTTTCATGGAGATTCTCGTATGACCTAAGGGAATTTTGATTATTTTAATATGTTTTGTTAAGTTTTCTTTTATTATTGTCGTTGTATCGTACTGAACAAGGATGGATAGATCAGAGTTTTCGAGGCTCTTGTGATGTGACGGAACACAGTTTCCTTCATTTTAAAATGTTTAACAAGTAAAAGAATTATTTTTGCAACACTTCAGAACCACTGATACCCTCCCTCAATTTATCCTGACACGTATCTTGGAATCATTATTTTCGACAGCTTCAATTCGTTTGGCTAGATCGATTGTAGGCAACCTGATAACTTACAAAAGACTCACTTTTGGTTAGCACAAACGGCTGTAGTACAGTCGAATGCATCACGGAAAAAGTACCGGACCGAAACCCTTGGGAATTATGTCCTCTGAAACAGTGCAGTCCAATCAAGTTTGGCAGCGAAATTGCAGCAACGGCAAGGAAGATGAAGACATTGTGGCGGCCGCACATTACAGAAGTGTGAGCTGTTCAGGCTTCATATACATCCAGAATGTATGCAGGCCGTCCATAGTATAAATTGAATTTGTTTATCATTCATATGTCAAATTTTGTTACAATGATACAATTCCTTCCGTTGCTGTTTGATGTGGCCGTTTAGAACTCATACGAGTAAGCAAGAACACAGCAGCTTACTTTGAACGGTGAATTCATATAGAGGACTAGTTTAGAGTAATATGTAAGAACGAGATCAAGCTCAAACTTGCATCCGATTTAAGTGTCTAACGCTGAAATATACCCATATCAGCTCATACCGTCGTACGAGCTGTACAGATCGTATGAAGCGGTGCGATCTGAGGTTGAAATGTCTCTAAGACTGTCAATATTGGAGGAAACAGTCAGAACTCTCCAATGTTCTGTTTTGCACAACACTGAGTCGTCTGATATCAAGCAACGTCGTATAACTACCATGAATGTCCGAAAAAGGTCTTTGGAGCAGAATTATCTCTATTTTTGTAAACTCCTCAAAATGTAGGCTTGCAAATACCATAAGCAGCCCACCACTTCACCTGACCCGCTTATTCACCTTGACACCTGTTTTACAAAATGGAATTCCGTATAGTCTCATCATTTTGGACGGAGATCTTTGCTCATATAGCGTTCCCAACAACATTTTCATTCACCAGCCGTCCTCTGCGTTTTCATCGTCACATACATGCAGCAGTTCTGAGTGGCACAGTGATCGTTCAACGTTATATACTTAAAATACCGCGAATTCAAGTGTTTCATTTGGTATTGGCGAGTAATGCGGATAACTTGTTGGATTATGTGAATAATTTCACTACTCGGGATGTGAAGTGTTTATTAAACGACGGTTATTACTGCAAGTTGCTGTGATGGGTGCAGAAATCATGAATTATCCAAATCCTCGTATCGAGTATATTTTCAGTTAAGTTGGACTAATGCAGAGCTCGGATGATCGATTGAATAGCAATGATATTATTGATATGAAGAGTGTGAAAGTTGGTGACAGTGATAGTTTGAATAATAATGGCGAAGATGAGGATGAAGAAGAAGTTCTACTCGAACCTCGTTTCACATATTCCCGAATTTTGAACAATATTCCATCGGTATATTCAATTTTTTGTTTTGTTACGCGCATATCAATTACAGATTAATGCTATTATTCAGAATAGCAACAGATAAATCTTAGATTAATAATCAATTTATGACGATGATTATTGATCTGTTATTGCTTTAAGGGGATATATTTTAAGGTTTTCTTGAAAGATTCAGCCACTTGTATAGCGGTTCATGATAAGTTCATTGCTATTGGAACACAAACGGGTCATATTCACATATTTGATCACCTTGGCAATATTCATTCCGAGAGTGTTTGTTCATTCGCTTATTCTGATTGTTCATTTTCACAGAATTGACTTAATAAATTTCAGTAACATTTTTATTCGAAATTCATATCTAAAATATTATAACTATAATTTAGCACGTTTTGATGTCACTGATGAGCAGTGGAATTGTTTTAGTGTGGCTTATCCACAATTACAGTCGTTTTTTTGTCGGGATTGAGTCAGTTAGTTGCAGACAAATATTTTAAATGTAATGATATGATTTGAAATTCAGTATTGATGGCACTGGAATGAACATGTTTCAATTGTAGACAGCACGTCATCATCGATGTGCGGTGACATCCATCTCAATTGATTCTGCAGGAAAGTATATGGCAAGTTGCGCATTGGACGCTAGAATTAGCATATGCGGTATTGGTTCCGATGAATTTACTCAGGTTATTTAACTCAAGTTCCAGCAATCATTTTTCAAAATTCATTTCTTTCATAAAATTTATTCCCGTAAATAGTTCTCCTTAAAGTTTCTTATTTTGATGTCACGATCGTCTGGCAATTATGATCATAAGTCACAAAAATCTGTCATTTCGTTGTAGTGCACAATGAAAATATTATTTTGCAACTGTTGAAAAATTTGGTTGATTATGCAGTCATAATAAAAATGCATAGCGCAGTCCTTATTGCTGTTACAAATATTCTGGTCTTCATTATTGTTTTCGCTTACTTTTCTGAACGCTCTGTGCTTCGTTCGTCTTACTACTGTTGTTATGATTAATTACTATCACTAGGTAATTTTGTAGAAGAATGTATCTATTATAGGATTATCCTATTGCAGACAATTGATTTGAAAGTAGCAGCACGCAGTGTAGCGATATCCCCCGAATTTTCGAAGAGAGGCTCGGGGCAGATGTTTGTTAGTGGTGAACGTGATTTAGTTCTGCACGAACGTCGTTTTTTCGCTAATCGTAAATTTACGGTTCGTTTGTTGTTAATCATTTATTTTTGTTATTTGTTGATTGCTGTTACCGCTATGTTTTTCAGACCTGAACGAATGTGAATGTACTATTTGTTTACCTTATAAACTTTAAAGGGTTTTTATAGATAATATATCAAGGATTAGAAAGAGACGGTTTGATCAATCAAATTTCATGGCACAGATCTTGTATTGCGTTCACAAATGATACGGGAACAAGAATTTATGATAGGTGAGTTCAGTTGAATGCTATGGTCATTTCCCTTGCAATATCAGAGGGTAATGTTGAAATCAGGACGCAGGCAAATAATAGCGGACTGTCGAATGTTTAGTAATGGTAAATTATTGAAGGAATGAAGAGCGTATATTAGCATTAGTTCAACCGATTCATGACGTTACTTCAATAACTGGTTACCGGTGCACTGCATCGCATTGCTGGATGAATGATTTCACACTTGTTATTGGATGGGCTCATACAGTTTCGATTTGCGTCATTCAGCCTCTGGGTCAGGATGAGTCATCGGTTGGTTTAGTCGATTGTTCATTTTAGACTGTATTCATTCATCGTTAAATTGGCCATCTGAAATTAGGTCTGGTTACGTTCGCTTCATTTCTCCTTCACTTTCCTTTGCTTCTATACAGAGAATTTCTTTTCCACCGAATGATGAACGTTTCACTGTTCAGTAAGCTTATCACAGTGCAACGATCTGTTATCACCTGTTTGAGTTTTTTTATTTTTAATCAAACATGTTTCTAATTTTATTCGCTAATCATTTTGTTGTGGAACAGTAAAAAGTGTCACCGAATATGTGTTGTTGTGAAATGAGATGAATTTATTTCACTCTGATACCTTAGATTATGATGCATTGATGTCTACTTGTTGCACATTTGAACGACTGTTGATTGGTTTGAAGGTGAGCTCTACAAATTCGCAGTCTCCAGCAAGGAAGAAAGGAGGACAAACGTCGTTAATGCGGCGGGTTGAAATTCATTATGCATGGAAGTTGGATATGATTGTGGCAGGTGTATCATTCACACTGAAGGAGAATGAGACAGATTTTTGGAAAGAAATTGTGGTATTTGGTATGAAACGAGCTGTCACTGATAAGGTCAACGTGTTTCAATCAATCATTGGAAGAGATACATTTTTTGTTGTCTGCAATTTTTGAATACCTTCAAAATTCATATAATACATTTACACTATTTTATAATAATCCACTCAAGGATACTGTCATTTCAACTGAGAATTTTTTACCCATAAAGTATGCAGAAATCTTTGGAGAATTTTTTCGTGAAATTATTCATTGATGAGAAAGTGATATTTAGAAATGACTGTGTAGTTTTAAGGACGAAGAAATAGTCGAAATGGAATTGGCTCTTTTGGAGCCAGACGGAATTAATTCATATTTATTGAATACGGAAGATCGTATTGAAATGCGTAATTGCAGTCTTCGAAATCTACCTTATTTCCATATGTGTGCATTACCGTATGATTCACTTTACTTTCTACTTGGATCTCATGAACTCATTCAGGTTTCCACTCAGCATCATTTGTTATTCATGTTAACAACACGAGCTTCAGCAAAACAAGATTTCGATTAGCATATGTAGGTAGCCTTCTTCCAAGTAATTATTGCTCAGTTATTCTGATCACAAGTTGGTAATCCTGAAATGAAACGAAAATCTTTGATACTGTATTAAATGAGTGTTGATTATCATCACTTCTTTCGTAATTGCGCTAAAATCAATCTCACATATGGTTCCCATACATATTTTTCGCGATTTTAATATTTCATCTAATTTGAGATGACTTTAAACAGTCTTTCGTTCTCTAGTTTGTCTTTTACATGGCATTTTGATAAACAATAATTATTTATACATTGAAATGTTTAAATGATTTGATTATCGTTGCACCGCGCATGTTATGATTAGATACAACGCATTTATCTAAGGCGCAGCCGTGTTCTGCGGACGAACGTGTACGTTGGTATATGGACAATGGAATGCTGAAAGAAGCAGTGGAATATGCGAACGAGCATAAGAACTCGTTGAAGGAGCTGAACGCACTTCATATCGGTAAGGCGTATATCGATTCTCTGATTGCGAAGGGCCGATATCATGACGCCGCAACCAATCTTCGAACTGTTCGTTTCATGTTGTTTTGTTATTGGCCTTGTTCATCTCATCTTGTCTTGTTATGGAATCGTTAAAGATTCTGTTCCTGTTGATCAACTATCAGGATTTGTTGATTTGCTCGTTACCTCCGAATAGTGTATCATTGAAATCGTATTGATTCTTATTTAATCATCAATGGCTATAACAAAGAAGTGTTGATCTTGATTACAGTTAGATATTATTTAATCTAAATCGTCATTTTCGATCGCGTTGAGTAGTTCAACTCTATAATTAGACTCTCATCAGTAGTACTGACGAATGAATGAATCAACTTAAAGGTATGTGCTAAACATAAAGATCTGTGGGAATATTACGTGAATGAATTCGAACGTCATAATGTCGTATTGCAATTAGCAAAGTATTTACCGGAGAAAGACCCTCAACTGGAACCTGAATGCTATCAGAATGTATTGGTAGCTGCACTTTACAATCATCCTTTATTATTTTATGGTCTTATAAAAACGTGGAATCCAGAATTGTATCGTGTTGGTTAGTGCTTCATTCATCTCTAAATTAGATTTCTGCTTTAAGTATGATTTTTTGTCGTAAATCTCTATTCAGCTCGGAGATATTCTTGATAACATTGCAGTGGTTTAGTGAAGGAACTATTATGTTGAATGAGTTGAGTATCGTTTTTCAATGGGTACCTCAAAAAATATAAAGTCCCTCAGGATTAAATGCCAACCGAAATTCATTGATACCTGTTTGTGTGATTTATTATTATTTTATGGGTTTCAATTGGTGCATATGAGGAAATGGAATTGTTGACAGGTGCAATAATTGATATGGCAATGAAACGTGTAATGCAAAACACGCCGTCAAGACCGTTAAGTTCTCGAGATATAGCAGCCATCTACAGAGCACTAGCAATCCTGCACACTCATGAACGGAAATATGATAAAGCACTCGCGCTTTATATACGTCTCAGTGATAAAACTGTTTTTCAAGTTATCGAACGTTACCATTTGTTCGATTTGGTTTGTTTTCGTTTATTTGGTTTTGTTATTATTCGGTTTTTGATAATTTACGTGTCGGAACTGTTAGCCGTATGTCGCAATTGGTTAACGATCGACTGAGAATTTCTTATCCATTAGCTTGAATATGGCACATGATAATGGATTGGTTGCGTTGCGGTGTAGTTTAACGCAATGATTGAGTTTCTTCTTTGTTCAGGTAAAAAACAATATCTCAAAATTGATGGAAGTGGACACTGATTTAGCTATTCGATTGGTGATTGAAAATGCGAATAGCCTTCCAGCAAGAACCGTTCTAACGCAAATAGCCAAGTATCCCAAATTGCAGGTTGTTATTTGCAGTTGTTTGTCGAGCTGCTGAATGTGGCATTCCTTCTGAATTGATCATGAATACAATATGATGTGAATGAAGCACCCTGCATAAATTTGTCTTTGTCATCGTTTCCAGTTTGTCAAAATATTTGATGTTTTTCAAGTAATTCGAGTAAATTTTCCAATCGGCATTCAGATGGCGTATTTGAATCAGTTGTTCGAACGGAACGAAGGCAATGAATTTGCTGACTTGGCTGTTCGTTTATATGCAGAACATGATGCCAAGAAGTTGCTGCCATTCCTTCGCAGTAAACAGTGTTATGATATCACTAAAGCTCTTGAAATATGCGAGCAAAAGCAGCTGATACATGAGGTTTATTCCCGTTCATTTCTTTCTTGGTTCATTCGTTTACTACAGTTCTTTACGACTCATGGAACATAACATTCAGATGGTATTCTTATTGGGACGTAGTGGAAATTATTCGAAAGCGCTGGATGTTTTGATGAATAAGTTGGATCGTATTGATATGGCCATTGATTTTTGCCGAGAAAATGATGATCGCGCGTTGTGGGAAGCGTTGATTGAATCGAGTATGAAGAGACCTCAACGGATTACGCAGTTGTTAAATACTGCTGGTGAATATGTGAATCCGTTGGAGGTGATTGAGAAGGTTTGAATTGATTTGCACAGTTTGTTCGAGTCGCTCCAATCATCATTCAACAGTAACCATTATCTGTTCGTCACGCTCTATTCTTTTCCTCTGTTTTATATAACTTTATCGTGTAATATTTTGATGAACGGGAATTCTTGCAGAATGATTCTGTTATTCAATTTAGATCCCTGAACGTATGCCTATACCGGGATTGCGCGACTCATTAGCAAAGATTCTTCATGATTTTGAGCTGCAACTACAAATGCAAGCTGGTTGTCGTTCAGTGATGTTGGAGAGTACAGATGATCTCTTAAGACGATTTCTTGCACAGTCTGCTCAACCGTCTCTCATTGATAATGAAGCAAAATGTGTTCTTTGTTGGTATGTTCACTTTGATGCTTTTTTTTGCAACTTGCATTTTATTATGTGCATTTTTTCTGAACTTAATCGTACAGTGAACAATTTTCAATTTCAACATTTCCAGTTCATTGGAGAGGAAAATTCTAAATTGGTTTATTGAAGCGAAACCATAAAATGCTGTCTAATTGATGTATGTGACACCCATTCAATGAAATTATGAACATCAGTTTTTTTTAATATGTGCTTTATTAAAATATCAGTTTTTGTTGAATTGATAAATGCAACTGTTTAATAACAGCAAGTGCCAGAATCAGATACTTCTTTCGTTGCAATTTTTGAGGAGAACTGCGTAACAGCCAAAAGCTCTATGCAATGAAGTGGATGTCATTTCACGTTTTCTTGCATAATTTGGTACTCTTCTAGTTCAGTACTGTAATACCAAAGTGTTTCAAATAAGCAAATTTTTTTCTGAGTCTATGATCTCTCATTTGGAGGTCGGTGTTCGGAAAGCCTACCCCCTCTCTCCCGTAAGGGAGGCTCCTGTAACGATTTCTGATGAATTCTTTCCTCTGGGGGTACGAGGATTCTTCGAAGAGCATCCCCTCAGGACAGGGTTATGAATAACCTGCAACTTTTGCATGTTCTTCAGTTAGTGTAATTTTTTGAAGTTTTTGAGCCATTTTCGATCTGCTATAGGCCTCAGGTTGCTGCGATAAGCATTCGGGTTCTGCGTCGGAAGATTGCAGAAAGTCGTGGTAGGGAAGGGGGGCAAGAAATGTAACTGTTTTATCGTCGAGACCTATGCATTGGGGTAATCACTGCGTTTGAAAGAATTGTTTCGCGATACAGTTTGTTCAGGAGAGGCAAACCAATGCTGATAATGTGGTTTAGAAAATCAGATTAGACTTTATATTGTCTTTATTGTTTGTACAACATTTGTTCTGCTCTTTCTTCATCATTGATATTGCAGTTATAATGAATACTTGTTGTGAGTTGACAATAAGTTCCGATCTGTACGGAAGCGTAAGTTGTGTTTGTATTTGAGTATTAGCTACATCGACCTCATTGTATTAGTGCAAGCCCTGATATCCTGATCTGCAAACTTTTTCGAATCATTTACAATTTTGTGCATATTTTTGATTCTCCCATACGTTGAACATGGATTGGACACAATAAATGCCAGGATGCCAGTAAAATTGTATTAAGTAGAAGAGTAACTGCTTTTCCTCTTTTGATCGGCACTATGAAATGACAATCGCTATTTCCTAATTATCCATTGCTTATCCCTTACTCTCTCAATATTGCATTTTCGAAAAATGAGCACCATCCTATCTATTTCAATTACATATCTAGGCCCACCAATGCACACTGTAACAGTATACTTCAACCCCACGGAAGAAATCCATCCAGTCGACCAATGTGCATCCGTCCTTTCTCTTCATGTCACACTATCAGAATAAGTATACCTAGCCATGCACCAGTTTAATGAATGCCTCCTTCGGCGTTTTCGCCTCAGCGTGAAATAAGCTGCTAGAGGAAAACGCCTCAGCGTTTTCCTCTAGCAGCTTATTTCACATCGATAGACAGTACGTTTTCCACATTTCACCAGTCTCATACTCCCACCACACTCACGTTTAGAGCAACATCAACGTATTGCATCAAACCAAGCGATTCCTCGACTCTTTATTATCCATGAGAGTCTCAGTAGTAAAGTCACGAATTCTGAACCTTTGAAGGTCATCCATACCGTAACAAAAAAAGAATTCAATGTTTATTACAGTTTGGATGTGATGTGTGAGAAGTGCTGTGTGAATGAAGAAGAACTGCGCGAAAATGTGATATCTTTCGGCTGTGGTCATTTAATTCATCAATTGTGTATCGAAAAAACAACCAATCAGGATGAAAGAATATCACCAAATCGATCTTTCGATATCACTACGAATTGTCCTAATTGTTATCCACACAAAACCACAAAATTTAATGATTCTTTGATCATTCAGTGAAGCGATTTAGAATTTATTTTACTTTTTTGTGTACATTTGCATGATTGAACTGCACTGTTCCTGCTGGTGATTCCATTCATTTTCTCGATTTTGTCACTTCGTATGTTGTGGAATAATCATTGTGATATATTATATTTAAATTCTTACATCAATTAAAGTTTTGTCCTGCATTCGAATTGCATTAAAATAAATGTTCTAATTTATCGTGAAACCGTTTGTTTGCAGGTGGAAATCTATATAGCGTCTCTGAATAATTGCTAGGAAAATCAGCTCAGTTTTGTTTTTGTTTGCTATTTCTCACCACATCTGTGGATTTTCTTTTAGAGATTTCTCACAATCAGATATCAGTTACTAATCGGAAATGAAAAAAAAAACATAGGGACTAAATTGAAATGAACAGAACAGTTAGGGAGTTTCTTCTCACGAAGTTTTTTTTCAGTTATTCAGCATTCTGAGACCATAGAAATCTGTGAATGGCATGTCTAAACTGACCTTGACTTGAGGAGTTAATTTCGTTCAGATTATTAATTCAGATTCTGAACACGGCGATGTTCTTGTATGTGGCCATATTCGCACGAGCGAATTTTTATTTGTCCTTACTTAATTTTTCATATTATTAAAATTGTCGTTATGGACATTTTGCGAACAATACTTAATGTTTCATGTATACCAATAATATATGCAGTTAACTGATCACAGATCAGTTAGTCGATCACAGTTCATCTATCCATTATGCAGCTAAAGTTCTGCAGCCATTCGGGAGCTTTGCAGTAATTATAATTTGACAATTGCAAATAAGTTGAAGTTGAATGGTTCCAACTGATGGAATGGAACAAGATTCCGTCACCGATCAGCACAGAAGAAAGGAAGGAAATCTTGTTTTGGTCTTGCTAGTGATTCATTGCCATGAATATGAAATTTCAAAACATCTTGAACTTGAGACTGTTCCACTCAGTTCATATTCTGAGAGAATGTTACTGAATTTTTTTTCATTGCAAAGGGATTAACAAGCACAAAATATCAACATTAAACGTAAAAAATTTTGCTTCAATGATAAATCAGTAGTTCGTTGGGTGTGCACTATCAAGTAGACTGCGTTGACATCAAATGAATATCCTCAACTTTGAAGTCTTACGTTTTCATCTAAATTTTCTTGAAATTTCCAAGAATTTTCATTTGTTGTTTCCGTATCGGAAGTTTTCACTGACGAATTATGCAGCTCCCAACAATATTGTACTCCTAGGGATGACGATACGCCTGGGCCGAGACGTCTAGTTTGTAAAGGGTATACAAACTCTTGCTGGTAGGGGGTGGTTATATTTGATAGACGATTATTTATGGTGTATTAAGAAGCATTTCTTCGCGCAATTCTTATTTACTTGTACAACAAGTATTACTTCATCAGAAAGTGTCTGTTTTTTCTAACAAATGTGGATAAACGAACACTACATGAACAATATACAGGAAAGTAAAAAATATGAAAACGAACACTTGCACACGACTAGATCTACAGTCACGATGTGTATTCATACATTTACATGTGCATATTCATCCACATAAATTTTGATTTGAACAGTAAAACGTTAAACTGCACAATTTCACACTGAGAGACTAGTTGCTTTACGGTTGCAATTCCGCAAGAGTTTCTCTTTGCATTTCATGTTCTGTTTAGCCACTTCGTCCAACCGAGGCACTCGCGTCCGATATCTACAATTAGACATTAACATTTATCTTTCAATTTAGTAGTGCATAAACGTGTATATTTGATTGGAGGAATAATTTTTTGCGTAGACGCATATTTTTTTACTTTCCTTTCATTACTGATTCGAATACTTACAATTAGACTAATTTGAGATATTTCATTTTCAATGGAACTAATTACGTGTAGTGCAAAACTAAGAAACACAACGCGTTTGCACTTGCAGTAAAGAGCGGTTTTAAACACAGAGATCAAATGACATTTAGAACATCGTTTTAAACCATAATGATTCTTATACATTTGCATTTCAGGTGAATCATTTTCATGAAGCGGTTTTGAAGGTTGAATCATGTTCAGTTAGAAAATCTCGAAGCAAGTTTTGCACAAATGTACATGTCGAATCGGTGATAATAGGTGTTCATGCGGAAATAATAAACAATAAAACATACAGTGACAGATGACTCTCTTCTGCGAATAAATCAGTTTGTTTGCAATGGCATAATTGTCGAAAGGCATCCCGAAATCTTTCTGACATTGCACCGTATAATATTGGATTCACACAACTATAATAATGGTTTTTACTAATCTTCTACTATCAATTTTCTCTTGAATGATTATCCGTTTACTGATTTCTATTTCTTACAAATTCATTCTTTTAAATCGTTAAATTCTACCAAATCTTTTTTTTCATTCTATAGGCACTTATAGTCTCGTACAACCTCTAAGGTCCTGCCCATGAATCGTGAGATAGATTTGGCTGCCACCAAAATTTTCAGTAAGTAATTTATTTCCTCATTCGTTATCTTTCCAATGGCTATTTTCACAATACTTTCTGTCGTTTTAATTGCGCTCCAAAATAGTGTTGTGCGGGGAGTCCCCGAATTCGGGGCCCCCATCCGCGGCATCCCCGTCCTCGACCATTTTTGAGCGGCAGCCATTTTCGGGGACTCTCCCCGTCCTCGAGCTTCCCGTCCCCATCCCCGACTTCTCCGGAATTGTCGGTTCTCCCCGAATTGTCGGGGAGACTCCTCGAAATTTCGGGGAGTCTCCCCGAAAAAATGTGAATTCGAATCTACCGCACCCTTGCGAGCGATTTTAAGTTGAATATTCGATCTTTGCTCGCATGTTTGCCTTTAAGGCCCCACTACCATTCTGTCTCAGCTAGGGTGTACAGGGGATCCCGGAATTTCAATTCTGGTCCCGAACCCGGGATTTAAGTTACGAAAAATCCTGGGATCTCTGGATTTAATAAAGCAGGTCAATTTGTGTTAATTTTGATAGTGCGTACATCTTGAAGCAAGCCTTAATCATTCCCAGCTCATTCATATGCAGTCATCCTCGTTGTTTGCGGATGACTGCTATTCTTTTAAAAACTCTATTTGTTAAACTCTAAAAACTCTGTTTTCTATGCTGTTTTTTTGCTAGTTTTGCTTTTTTTTCAAATCTTGCTATTTTCAAAAACTCTATTTTCTCATGTGATTGAATAAAATACTTTGAATAGAATTGCATTGCGCCTTTGTAGTAATCGCTTTTCTAGCTTGAAGATCACTTATTTCAATGCTTTTCCATCAAATAATCATGTTTTCAAGGTCCTGCTAAGTAGTTCCAAAATTACATTTTCGGGGAGTCGGGGACGGGAACAAGATTGAGTTTTCTCTCCGAAACTCGCCGTCCCAGTCCTCGTCCCTGGCTCATTTTGATCTCCCCGCACAACACTACTCCAAAATGGTCATGTACAGAGATTCATTTATGTCGATCAAAGATCGTTTGATTGCGATGTGAGAATAATATTCAACAGCATCATTATCACAGCTTTTTGTCCCTTTTCAAAAGTATATTAAGTGCACCTTGCTAATTATGATGCTATTTGAAACATGTCTTCGAACACCGTCATCTGTTCCATCCAATCTGGATGAAAATAAAAATTTCCTGATTTTCTAATTCATAACTATGCGGTAATATCGATTTGTATATAACAAATGCGAAACAATTGAATTGAATAACCTATTGGCGTATGCGAGAAATTGAATGGAAGTTTGTATAGCGAAGAATAAATTACTCTCTTCGGTTTCCCAAAAAATTGGTTCGGGATAATAGAATGCTTTCAGAGCGAATCGAACGTTCTGAGGTAACCAGCAAATTGCGAACGTCAGAATAATCACCCAAACAAGTTTTGTTATTCGACGTCTTAATCTTAAAAGTGCCAGCGTATTTCATTAAATTCATGACTGAATTTCATTGTAAAAATATCACTTTCGTTCCCTGCTGAATCAGTTCGTCAAGTATGTACACGAATTTGTTCCATATTAAAATTCAGAAATGAGCAAGTGAAATTTTCTATTTTAAAATATAACTTCAACAATTTGCTATTAATTTCCATTCATCACGTGTTAAAATACAAATGGAATATTACTTGAACGCCTCTTTAGATATCCTAAATCCCTCTTTACTCCTCCATAAACTTCGTACCATCATCACATAGAGAACGCAGATAATGCTTAACGGCATCACATAAGCGCCGATATTAAAACCAACGAAGAATATTATTGCTTCAGTCTATAAAATTGAAATTCGTATGAAATTTTCTGAACACATCTGGACATTCTGATTTAGATTGTAATGATTACCAAATATGCTTGATTTTATATTTTAGTTGAACATCGATTCAAGTAATAAGATCTCAAACTATAAGTAAACGACCATTGCTTATGGTGATAATAGTGGATATGTGCGAAAAATTAAATTTTTTAAAATGACTAGTTGTATTCTTAATCAACGATCAATTCATTCCAATTACGAAATTAGTCATAAATATTCAATTTTCATGAATATTTGATACGGGATTATTTGTGGCATTTGAGTTGTTATAAAAGTGGAGGAATTTGACTGTTTCGTTGCTTTTGCGAAAGAAACGTACTTTTCACCACATTTCAGAGTAACTCACGAGCACGCAACTCAAATTTCCGTCAGTAGTTTTTTGTGCGGCGTTTTCACGAAATCATATCAATGCGACCAGAAACCGAACACAATAAACGATAAAATTTTTGTCAATGCTCATGCCCACTCCACGAATGAGAACGTATTTCATGAATTTTTGCTAAGTTTGAAACCGTTTTCTTTTTGCTTTCCGTTATATGTTTAGAAATGAATCCGTCCATCATTATCAATGCTAAATGCAAGTTTTGTGGTTGGAGGGAATGCATCTCGACGGTGAAGAACTGATTATTGAAGAGAGAATGAATATCCATTTAATATAATCATGAAACTGAATGAGCGATGTGAACTCAGTCTTTGAAATTTTCTCCGAGTGATTAGAATCAAATTGTTCTGCAAGATAAATAAACCTTAGTCGCTGATGTGAGTGCAATCGCAATTGAATCAACACACGTACCCAAGTGTTTGCCCTGAAATTTCCTCCTTTCTCTTCCATTAAGCAAATAAAAAAGCTTATTCTATCGAATATAGCCGAAGTTCGATTACGGCCATATTTTTCGCCATTGTTTAAATTTTCATCGTAGTGGGATGTTGTAACATTCATTTTCGGGTCTGATCTTCTCTTCTAAATGACTAATTCTGTTTCATTTAGGAACACCGCCCTTTAATTTTTTTAAGGTTAACTCGGGGATTCTTGAGGCCCTATTCCTCGAGTTTCTCGACCTCGGGGGCTTTCGGGTCCGAATCGTCCTCGATTCAACCTTGGGTCATAATTTATATCACCACACATTGAAAATCTTGTCGCACCACGCCATGCATAGAACATTTCAAGAACTAAGCAAATTACCTCAAATTCATACTTGAAAACGCCACCGTTTCTCAGTGTTGTTAAATTGCAGATCAAATTCAAGATCCACATCAATGAACATGCGCGAATAACGTTGCGCATGTTCCGGAGTTGCATTGCACTTATTGGGCATACAACAGCCTGGAAATTTAATTCGATCGACTTGATTACCGAACTCAGGAATAAAAATCACCCAATGAGTATTTCACTTTGCACTTTTTATTATTGTTCCAGCGCTCAGCAGTTATTTTCGTCGGGTTTCGTACAGATTTGGCAACATTGAACAACTCTAATTCGATTTGAAAGAATTTAGCTGACTTCATATAACAGAGAAAAGAAGACTTTTTCTTCTCAGGTAGATTTTTTTCTCATCGGTGGTTTTCTTTCGATGAGAAGTCTTTCATGGTTTTGAAACCTTTTCACATCGCTGAAAATGTCTTATTGCTAAAGAATAACGAATTTTATTGTGGAGATTAGAAACCTATTGAACCAAGCCTGGAAAGTAATTGTGATATTTTGCAGTTCAAGAAGATGACTGTTGAAAGTTCAGACAAAAAAAAACTCACAAGAAAACGATCCAGAGCAAGAATAACAAGAGTCCATACAGACGCATAAGCAGTGACATATTGCATATAAATTGTTAAGTAGCAAAACACGTCGGGAAACGGCCATGGTTTAGCGTAACTGTACACAGTGAATGGTACGCAAAACATCAGAAACATCAAGTCCGCAAATGCGAGATTCGTTATCAATGTGTTGGTACTGAAAAATTCGTCACTTTCTCCATCGCTACTGCCGCCATCATTAAAGCTGTTCTAATCAACTGAGAACGTGATGATTTTTGATATTCTACCATCAAGTTATGTAATTGAGCTATACTGATACTCATTTCTACTTCACAATTTTTGCTTTCAATCAAATTGTACATGATCACATGAAAACGCAGGTGAATAACATTAGGAATCGTTTTTTGACAATATCTGATCAGTGTGTTGAAGAATGTCGTCAAATTATTGAAAATTTTCAAATTTGCGAAAGAAGTGCTGGGATGAGAACGTGTAAAATTTTGATTTAAAACATTCACATAAAGGTGCGATAATAATAACCTATTATGAAGCGATCGATTGAGTGCAAAAACAATGAGAACTGCTGCATTGCCAATAACACCAATGATCATTATCAAGCAATAAGCAACAGGTACCACTGATAGATGCAGTTCCACCATTACAACGCATCGGTTCTTCGAACTATCAACAGAGTATTACTGATTGTGAGTAATAACCTCATATATATCAGGTGAACAATTGTTATGTATGCATGGTCTTAAGCATTCGATCGAATCAAAGCAATTACGTTGCAACATACACGAGTCACGTCCTCATCAGTTTCATCAACATGAAAGGGGTGCGATGTTAATGTGAAATCGGCATAGAACACACGATAAGGATATATAATTTGTATGTAATGATCATAACTATGAATGCGACTTAGTAGGCCATTTGGAAAACGAATGGTAGTATAGCATTGTACAGGAATACTTGGATAATAGCATGGCGACATTCAACACAATTCATCGGATGGTGAATAGCACTTTGAAATTGAAAATCGCTTAAGGCTTGCTTCCTAACACTTTGAAACTGAAAATCTCTTAAGGCTCACAATAAATGTAGAAATTTCATTCAATCATCGCACGCACATAATCGTTAACAATAGGAAACAAGCGTTTTTGGCGATCAGCAATAGACGCTTCGAATAAACGTAAACGTTTTATGAATGAAATAATAACAGCCTCACAGTTACGGTTAACTATTTTGCGGTCATTCTGAGCGGAGCTGTTCATTCGGATCATATTCTATGAAATTAACTGAAACGAAACTCGAAAATGTCGGATGAGCTAGGAGAATTTCTAAAAGACAACTTCCCTTCATCTCATATCACATTCAAATTTTCACATTAATGCTCAGAAACTAATGTGCACACAGTAATGTGTAATTAAGCACATTCGATCAGTGCCTTATTTTTCGTAACAAGCAATTGTCAGCGATATTTCATTTTAAAACAATTTCATTCAGAAGTTTTCCGATAATTCCGCTTTTTATTATGCGCATGGTAAAGATGACTCTTGTGTTAGCAGTAACGAACGATTAACAATGCAAAGTCAACTTTGAGCAATACAGTTGCTAATTATAGCAGAGCATTGATATGCAAGCGATGCTTCAGAAAGGCATCTGTGAATCGATGTTCCTTCAATAAATTAGTTCAATTTCCTCACTGAAGTTGGTTGATTGAAAAAGCGCACATCTCAAAAGAACTGGAAAATTGCATTTCAGAGTGTTGAACATTCACTGATCGCGTTATTTCGAGAAAAAAACTATACTTGGTGCAATTCATGCAACACTTCAACAAGAAATGAGAGATGATTATGAAACTTAATCGGATCTAGGAAAATGAAAATGTCTTGATTTATAATTAATTTATCAATGTGTTTCATTATTTCGAATTCAGTCAATTTAAATTGAATTTCAGACTAACTAATCGAATTGTTCACTCTTCTAATTATAGGAAAATCCAAGAAGTGAGCCTACAGCTTACTTCAAATTGTGTTTCAGAATATTTTTTGATCGCGTTATTCTGAACGATTTCTTTTCAATGCAAGCAGCGTAGAGTTGTGTTTGGGAGTCTCAATGCAGCATATGTAATTTTTAACAAACGAGATAAGTCGTCACGGAACAGAGATGAATTTGCAGATGAAACACTAACAAGCATTTAGATGAAAATATCTGAGCACGTTTCTTAGCTTACATTAGTTATAAGCATTTCTTCATCTTTTGGAAACGAGCATGTAATGTGGGTCATAATTGAAATGGTGCAGTCGGGTTTTTTGAACTATTCCTTTTAAGCACAACCAGCACAACGGTGTGTCTGAAAATGATCAGTGACAGCAACGACCGAACAGTTTCAGTTGCTAAAATTTTTAAATAGTTGTCGACTAGTCCAACCAATTGTTTTGACAGGATGAAGCTGAAAGCAAATTGAGATGAAAGAGATGAGATGAAAGCAAATGACGATAATCTTGGAAATTGTTTCACACTGCATGAAAGTGCATTATGGTGGGATGCTTCCCAAAATGAGATTATGAACATTTTTCAATCGAACATTTAGCTCACAACTGCAATTCGATTTAACAGGTCGAATTGCAGCATATCTTCATCACCCTCAACTAGTGCTTATTTAACATTACATTTCATTTGGCGGTGCACAATTATTTATTACTTACTTACAATTTATATTATCTTTTTTGATTATAAATGACGAATAACTTTTAGACAGTAACTTTTCAAACGAATGATGACCTTCTGAACGAATGCAAGGACTTATAAGTAGGTTAGAAATAAATGAAATTATTGAATCAGTAGTAAAATCAATCGAAACTAAAAAAATGATCAGCAAATGATTTGATGTAGTGTCGAATAATGAGATATTAATTCTATAAATATACGAATTGAATTGTTCTAAATAACTGAAATGAATGTGCATTCGATTTCAAATAAATTATTTAATAGAGGGAGCCCTCATTTGGAAGTGCACTTTATCTAAATTCATACTCAATTTTCTAGTCCACCGACTCATGAAGTCAATGGAGGCCGAGAGCATCATCACAGATTAAATCGTCTGACAAGAGTTGTGAACCGCCATAAAACATTCACATTCCTATGCTGACCTTAAATAAGCACGTTTTGCTATGGAATTGCTCTTCATATGAACACTTGATAAAGTCGACTATATCTGAATAACTTAAGAACAACACTGATCTTTAATGAGGAATCCTTCTAAACGAAATGTAATAACTGTCAAAAAATATGCTGATATATCGATCGCACATAGACCTTATGACCATAGCAACATAAAATAAAGACTGAAATGTACTAACGTATGGTGAAAAGTATGCATCATGAATTTTTAAACCGCAATTTTTGAATTTTAAGCAAATGATCGGAAGTATGTAAGCCAAATGGGGCTAGATTAAATGAGCCATGAATCCAGTTAGCTCAATTTGAACGTCTTATATAATTGCACGTCTTATTGTTCGTCTTATAATTATTCTACGTTGCTTCCATATAATTGCTATTATATGGAAGCTATTTTGATGAGCAACATTTCGATTTTGATCGCTTTCAACAAAATGTACACTTAGAAAGCATCCTGGTAAGTGCAGCTCATTATCAGTCTAGTAGTCGTAAGACGACGAATGACTGCACATAAACTTCATAATCAAGATAATCATAATCGATTGTACGAAGTGAAACGTCATGCCTCATCCACTTCAGTTTAGATTTCCAGTACCTCAGGTTTATTGCGCTTGAATATGTGACTAATCTATTTTCATTGTCGCTGTTCTTGAAAATTATAGGACTCTATAGTCGTTTTGTTGAAGTTTCATGTGTTTTGATGATTTTTGAGATATTTCAATCCATTCTCTGACGTTGTTCAAAAAAGCAGTGAATGATTTCAAGTTTTGTTCAGTGTTTACCAACAATTACCAGTTCAGCACCTGCTCTTACTCTTAATCCAAGGTTTAACTAGCTATAATCGCTGCATTGTATTCAGAGGCAAATTCGATCAATTTTCACACTGAATTCTCATTAAGTTTATTTTATAAGACGCATATTGGAAAGAATCGAAGATAAAGTGACACTCAATGAAGCCGATAAAGGATTAATTAATAAATTAGTCGATACTCTTTCTTCAAAACAAACGCATTCAACAGTTAAATATCATTCACACTGATCAAAACAAATTCATCTTCATATGCATTCAGTGAATGGTGAACACATTGGCGATAACTGACAAACGATGAAACCAATAATTCTGTCAGATAATACGCGAAATGAAAGTTTCATAGTGATTAGTTTGATTCATATGAGAATTATTTCGATAAGATTGTTCCGTGATCCGTCAATCTGCCTAAAGACATTTTGCCTAACGACAGTTTGCCTAACGGACAATTTGCCTAAGGAACATTTGCCTGCGAAATATTCATTAAAAAACCGTAAATTAGGCAAGCTGTTCGTTAGGCAATGTGTCTTTAGGCAAACTGTCTTTAGGCAAAATGTCTTCAGGTAGACTGACCGGGTACCAGATTGTTCACTACATTTTCTCTAATTTGACTACAATAAACAGTCATTTCAACGATTGTTCGTTAATGCTGAGCAAATGTGAAAAATACTTAATTTTGAATCTGAACAAATATGAATCGTGAATCAGAGAAATTTTTGAAAAAGATTAATTCAGTAATTCGGATTATCCGGAAAATAATAATGTCTACGTTTTTTCACGTTCAGGTACTGATGAGTTTAGTAGCTAGTGGCCGTAAATGCTTACGAACTAACCTGCCCGTTTGATGTAGATGAATATCGTTGAACATTGCAACTCTCATATACCTTGCGACCTGTCTCCACTCTCTATGTGGGCGTAGGTCAACCGATTTCTTTGTTATTCTGTTGTGCAAACCTTTTCCATTTCTGACCAAACATTCTAATGAATCCCATCTTATTCGTGATTTGCCTAGGGGCCTTTTCACTTCTCTTTGAATCCATTGTGTTATTCGATCAGTCCAACGGTTATCGTTCATTCTCGCTGTATGCCCCGTCCATGTTCTTTTACTGATGTATATTTCATTTACTGTGTCTTTCACTTTGGTCATCAAACATAACTGCTCATTTTTTATCTTATCTCTCCGTGACACGTTACACATCCTTCTTTCCGTTGCTCTTTCTGTTATAGCAAATTCATCTTGTGTAACTCTTGTAACACACTCACATATATTGATACTCAATTTGAATGGAAATATGATTTCACTGATTCTCTCCATCAGCAGAGTGTTCATTTCTGGACGAATAAAAGTGAACTGATATCATTAGCAAAGCGCAACTGATTATGCTGAAGTGCTAAAGTCACACGTTGTCAGACGGCTTCTTCGACGAACAATTTTCTAGTTCAGATACGCTAATTGTCATTAGACAATGCACTGTAAATTCGAATCAGCGGTGTGCAATTAAATTAAACAATGACAGTATGCTGATGAAGTGTTCGATAATGATGGTTCGTTATTGATGATAGCGGAGAGAAGAAAAATGTGATTAAACTGCTTCTGCATTAATTGTAATTATGAAGTGCATACACTGACATCATTCAAAATTCTATTGAGAATGAAACTTCTGGAGG